TCCCCCCCCCCCCCCCCCCCCCCAACTAACTAAGAGAGGGAAAAAAGGCGCCTTTGATTGTTGTGGGGATGAATTCTTCTTGTGTTTTGTGTTGTTCAAAGGTTGAAGTATATGAAGGTGATTATAGAGTTTGAATGGGTGGGTGGTTGTTGCCGTGTGTGTGGATTGGGGTGGAAAAGATTGGTTGGTGTACTTTTGGATTTGAGAACAAAAGATTTGTAGGCTGAAGGAGAAAGACTTGTTCTGATATGAATATAATGCACGAGGATATTAATATGATAACAAACAATTAAAAAGTAAGAAAGAAAGGGGATTCAAGAAGAGAAGAATTGGGGCAAATAAAAAATTGGTTATATTTGTATAACTAAGGGTGAATATTACAATAAATAAGTCCACGTTATTGAAATATTTGAACTAATCTAGTCAAATCTAAGTAGCTATATTTTGAATAAAACTCTATTTTAAAATCCCAATTAAATTGTAACTCTATCTTTATGTGTAACCTACCACTATCTCCTTCAAATATTCAATAAGCATGCACTGTAAATTAATAAATCACATTAAAAATATCAAACTTATGTGGTAGAAATTTCTTGTGCATAGCGCTTCTAAACTCCACTTCTCTTAATATAACTTATTCATATAGGACCATAAAACTTAATTCAAAATTACCAAAGTTACATGACACATACCCAAATCTTAAAAAGGATTAAACGAGAATTCAGTTTAATGCCTTGACTTTTCTTTAACAAGAAAAATATATCTTTGTGTGAATATTGTGTGCATGTGTGAGGTAGAGAAGTGAGAGCAAAAGATGGTGAAAGTGTGTTTGCCAGGGGGAGAAAAGGGAGAAGAAGATAGAAAAGAGAGAGGGACGTGTGAGGGAGTTTGGGGGTGTGGAGTGGCTATTTTCCTCATCTATATAAATGTACTAGTTGCTTGGCATTGACCATGGATTAAATGCTATCTTGGAAACCTTAATCATTTCATTAGGCACTAGTCCTCAAACACAGCTACTTTCCTTCGAGCTCACACGGGCATGTTTTAACCTTGAAAGCATCCTTAAATTATCGTAACAATAATTATTCACACTTTATTCTAGTAAAAATACTTATTTATATATCCTAATTATACTAATAAAATATACTTAAATAAATATTAACTGATCAATTCATACAAAATAAATTATACCATCTATTAAAATCTAGCTTTATGTCTAGATATTACCATAAAAAGTTTGTTTGTAGTGATTTAAAAGTAAGAAGAATATTTTTTCCCCAAAAGGAAACACTATTCAATAGTTCTGTAGATGCACTCAAAATTGTAAATTTGCAGAAAATGCACTTCGATCCATAAATTATTAGCTAAGAATTTGTTAGGTCTTATAAATTTCAATGTTTTACTGCAAAGCCCAAATTCAAAAATAGCGGTTGGTAAAGGGAATTTTGGGTGTTATACAATGGATGTGTCATTCCTTAAGGCTGTGTGATGATGTTAAAAGTTGATATAAAAGCTGGTGGGTCTAATGAAATGTGTTGTTACTATTGATGCCTATTCATGGATGACCATGTTGCTTCATGAATATTATTTCAACTAGGTTTCTATTGAAACATGGACTTATGCGGAAATTAAATAAGGATAAAAACTATGTTATATATTTTATAGTTTTTCTTATACACACATGAATTTTTTGTCCTAATAGGTACTGGATGATGACTATTCTAAGATTGCGTTTCTCTGTTCTGATCGCTCTATCTGTCTCCATGCTAAATATGGAAGTCACTACAGTTTGCGAATTCCAAGGTTCTTTCCCTTGCTTTCAGCCAATATATGCATTTTATTTGTAATTTACTGGTTCCCAGCACCTAAGGTCGTTTTCTTCTTGCTTTATATGTATTATCTCTGTAACTACTAAATTCTGAGGAATTTGCATGTGCTATGTTCTTTTATCTGTACATTGAACCAATTAGCCCATGTTTGCCACCCATTATTTGACAAATTAAAGAGTTATGAATAGTATGTGTTAAGAGAATGTGTGGTTAAAAAGTAATGAAACTTTATTGTTTTGTGCATTGGATATTTTGTTGTGTGAATATGTGGTGGAGAATGATACTGTAGTTTAAATTGTAAAGGTCGTCAAACAGGCTCTTAGTTGTTGAAATGTGATTGGGTATCTAAAGTAGTGCTTGGGTAGGTGCTAGAGAGAGAATGAATTCTATATTAATTGTTATCAACTTTATTAAAAAATAAGAAATAGAAATTGATGATCCAACATATTTCAATTTTCAACTGCATTATAAAATATAATGTGCTTCTATTTAATTGCAGAACACTGTTTAGATTGATTTAGAGGATCTTAATTAACATAATATGTGTAGTTAAGGAGGTTTGATTATTATGATGCTATTATTCTGCTGGTGAACAAAATAAGTATGAGCTAGACTTCTACCAAGTTCCATTTCATAGAAAGATATGCTAAAATGAATTTGATTTCCATCAAGATTTGTATCATGGCTAGAGTACATTGTCACAGTTTGACTGCACTTTTTGTAAAGGAAGCTAACGTAGGTTCGGATGATGAATTTCCATCTTCTGTCAGCTTAATTTGTATATTTACTTCCCTGCCCGCTTTTACCTTTGCTTGACGTGTCATCAGTTTCTCTTTGGCTTTTTATTACTGATTATACAGGATGGGGCGAGACATTGCATACGATTGCTGGTCTTGTGACATAATTTGTGCCGCTTCTTCTCCAGATCTATACCGGATAAATCTTGAACAGGTTTGTCCTGCAAATATCTTACTTTGTTGTTTAAGAACAAATGTTTTCATTCTTTCGTTTGGATATCTGAGTTTGAGATTAGTGGTTGATAAGATCATTAACCGATGACTTTACTTGAAGAAAGGGAACCGCAGCCTCTTCCCACCAAAAAAAAAAAAAATGAAGGAAAAAAAAAGGTGCACACAGACTTACTCCCAAACTAAACTTTGTTGCAATTTCATTTGATCTAAATCACATTCTTCCCATTCCCTTTTTTTTTTTGGGGTGGGGGGAGTGGGGAAAGAAAAAGGCACATACCGATAGACCACTACCAACAACTTGAGCCTTATTCCTTAAAGAACCTTTCTTGCAATTTCATTTGATCTAGAGCCTACCTCTTTTGGAAAGCAGATGAAATCAAACTTCTGCAACTAACTCAGGGATATTTATTTTGATTGATCTCATCTACTTCATGTTGTTACCACTTTCTTCTAAGTAAAAGGGGAAGGACTTGGCTGATTTTGAGAGTCCATTTGTTGGAAAATTGAAAAGTTGAAGTTTGGGTTTTTAATCTTTAAAGGATAGAAGAATGCAATGCAATAAAAATTTAGGACAAGAGAATGTTAAGACTTAAGACTAGCTTAAGATAGTGAACTGTATAGATTATTGAGTTCAATAAGTTATGAAGGCCCATACTATTAGGCCTCCTTTTGGCAAATTTCTAAATAGTTTATAAAAAGGAATGTTAGTGGGTTTTACAAAATGTATGAATAATAATGAGTAATAGTTATGAATGTGTGGTTTTGAGATTAATATTTGACTTTGACTTAATTTATAAACTATTTATAATTTTAAGTCCAAACGGAGTCTAAACGTGGACAAGGAGAGTTCAAAAAAGGGAGATTTATTAATTGATTAATGATTACTATAATGAGTATTTTTGGATATGTGTGTGCAATGAGCGTACAGGTTTATTTAGCTACACATTTCATCATGGATGGAGTGGTGGTTCTTTACCCCTAGGTTTTGCCATGTGCTTCGGTTGAGCCTCATTTGGTGCCGATGAATAATTTTTAGTGACCAAAAGAAGATAGAGTTCTATGTTTGGACAGTAATAATAAATGTGCACTACGTTTGTTCAATTTATGGTTCTTCGAATTGGATTAAGGACCTATTTCTAGTGGATACACTATTGTTCTTTTCTCTCTCAGAATTTTATATGCTTTAAGAATGAAAGATGAGATTATCTTAAATATTTTATAGTTCAACTTTTCAAAGTCAATGATGTTTCAGGGTCGTTTCCTATCGTCACTCAACACACAATCCCCAGCTTTGAATGTGGTGTCTCGCAGGTTGGTGTAACTTGTTTCTGCTTTTATGCCATCTTCTAGCTCTTCTATCATAAGGATTATTCTAAACCTTGCATTTGTATTTCTAGATTTGGTCTTGGTTTGTAATTATCTGACTGTCTTCTTCCTTTTCCTTTCCTTTTTTTTTCCCCCTTTCAGCAACGTTCATGGGTTAGTTGCTGCTGGTGGTGAGGATGGAGCTGTGGAATGTTTTGACATGAGAACGAGATCTTCAGTTGGGAGGATAAATACCGTGGCATATGCTGGTGACATTGATGGGGTAACAAATTTTATATAACTTCCTATTACTTTGACTAGATTCCATGTCCACTTTTTGTTGATGACCCTGAAGATTAGTTTTCCTTGACTTCCAAAAGCCTTGAAGTTGGTATGCTTGAAATGCAGTTATATGTGTAATGCACTCTGTTTTGCCCATTTGAATATAATATCCATATGTCTTGGAAAAATCAATATTGTCCTTTTCCCATCTAGAACTCTGTTGCCTTTGCTACCGTAGTCTAGGGAAAGAAAGGGGGGGGGGGGGATGATTCTTAGGTGCCTGAATATTGTCAATGGAGGTTTCTTTAATTGATATACGTCTTTGATATTATGTGAAAATTGCAGGAGGTTACTGCAATTGAGTTTGGCGAGAAACAAGGTTATTTCATGGCTGTTGGAAGTAGTGGTGGAAAGGTATGCCTAAGAATGTTATATTTACTGTTCATTGCGGATTTGCAGTCATGTCTTATTATCGAACTTTGTTTACTTTCTGTATCATTCTTTTGTGCCATATTGGCAAAGCTAGCTGTGGAGTTAAGTTACCTATTTATGGGATATGCCCTCATTTCTCTCTTGGCCTTCTATGAATTTGCAATCTCATATTGTGCTTGCTAACGTAATGAAGTTTTTCATTTAACGAAATATCTATTGACCATGTGATATTTTGGCTACTCTTGGTTCTGCATCATATTTTACCTTCCGAGAATATCTTGTTCTATATGCCTTTGCTTGTTAGCAACTTCTCGGTCTTTAATCTGCATTATAGCCATGTCCTTGTCATACTCTGCTGTTGCATGTAGGAACATCTATTCATCAAAAGATTGATAGCTGTACTCAATAACATAGGTCCTTCGGTAGGACAAGTATTTAGGTCTCTCTCCTTCAGGCCAATAGGTTTGTATCTATTTGGCTCAACACAAAATTTATTCAGTCTGCATGGAAGGAAACCATTAAGTTGCATGATTATAATTTTTTGTGAATATATCAGATGTTTTGAAAAAACAAATAACCAGAAACATTGTAATATCAGATAAGGCATATGACAATCCTCTATTTGGAAAAAAATGTTGCGGCATAAAATAAAAACCACCAAAACGAAGAGTATATGCCTGGTTTATCTGTTTCCTTTTTGATACATCATGCCATGTGAATGTGATGGTTTTCTGTAATAACGTCTGTTGTAGTTCTTGTCCTTTAACTAATGAATTAATTGTGCACTTATTTTCTTCAAATAATTCAGGTTCTGATTTATGATTTGCGCAAATCTGATCCTGTGCGAGTGAAGGATCATATGTGAGTTACCTCTACTAACTTCTTAGTTACTCCAGTTATTTGATCATAGGATAGGATCTTTAGACATTCATGGGATCTTTACTAATGGAACCTGTCATGGTTTTGCAGGTATGGCAGCCCTATACTGAACATTAAGTGGCATAAAACCCTAAACTCTGAAAGAGAGAAATTAATCACTACTGATAAACACACAGTTAGGATTTGGGATTCTGAGACTGTAAGGAACTTTTTCATCTTATTATTTGACTATTTATCCTATGCTTGCTACAAATTCTGTTTTTTGTGCCTTGACGATTATTATACAACTGTCTTCGCATTTAGATGTGACTAGGGTAGATGTACTGCTGAGCTCTGAAAGTGCAAGCATATAGTCTTCATGCTACGATTTTCCAACAAATGTATTATAAAGAATGACTATCCAGGAACTTATACATTAAATATGACTGTAATTTTATTTTTTTAAATCACGGTATAAATAAAATCAACTATTAAATTTTAACAGTTTATGGAAATAATTTCTTTTAGTATTTTTTGGTGAATTGTAAATACTTGTGTTACTACGAAGAAGATAGCAAAGCAAATTCAGTTGTTTGGAACTATTTTTGGAGGAAAATAACATTGTAATGTTGATTTGAAAAATATAATA